TGAAAAAAGTTCTCTCTTCTAGTAGGTATCTTTATATTCCAATTCTACTTTATACTAATTATCTGTTTCCTTCTTTGTCTAATTCTCTGGCTACGAGTTTCTGAGGAATTTCTCCCATTTCTTTTTTCCTCTCACATTTATTGCTTATTACCTTTATCTTGTTTCGTACAGAATTATCTCTTATCCTTCAGCTCTTTCTTCAGTATTTTTTTCTGATTCTAACTTCTGTTTGTGCAGTTACTTCTGCATAATTTTGCACCTATGCAATATTGGAACCTATGCTTCTTTTCTCTCCTCATCTGCTTTTAATGGCTTCTTTCATGAGTCCTCCTTGCTATGCTTCTCTTCATGCGGTGTATTCTCAGATCTTTGATGCTATGTATTTCCTTAAACCACCAAATTAGAGTTTAAGGAAATACAAGTCTTAAAAGCTTTGACCTACCATTTCCTAGTCCTATAGGCTATGCATTGTACTGCATATTAGTATGCAACAGACAAGCCAAACTCAAAGAAAAATGGTTTGCTGTGTATATTTTCATGTGAATATGTAAGGAAAATTAAACTTACTATCGAAACTTTTATTTATTCAAGGTCACCAATAATTTAAAAAAGCATATTCATTACAGAATAAAGTGTACATACAATTAAAAATGCAAAACTATGAGTACAAGATACAAAATGGTGGGAGCGAGGGTATGTTAATACAAATGTGAGCACAGGATATCTTGAAGGTCAATGGTGAACTGACTAAGTTTGAGGCCTCCCTGAGCCCATAATGAAGGACCCACAGTTAGCAGTCCAAAGCAATGACTACAGGGGGCAGTAAAGATATGCTCCCATAGATAACTATAAGCCATCTAAGGGTTTCAGTAGTAAAAGAAACACTTAAAGATATATTATGACCATGGTGGTTTTTCACATAAAACAATTTATTCATGCATTAGCTTTTAAGTATTACAAATTACAACCGGCTGCAACCCTGAGGACATGGCACCATCCTTTAGAATGACCCTATTCTCACATGCCTATTGCATACCCACATACAAAACCCTACAAATAAGCTTACTACTAATATAGTGTTGATAAACATGCAACATGTTAAAAGTGTGTACGACTGAAATCACAGGTTAGGAGACCAGAGATTGATAAAAGATATATATTTTTAAACATTTTATACCATGAACTTTGTATTAATTCCCACCCACTTAATAGCAAACTTCAGATTAACTTTGTATATTTTTTGTTGCCAATGTTTAAATTTTGGTCTGATAAATTCAATAGCAAATATCCCTATCATGGGATACAGAAATACTGATAGCAATACAAAAGCATACACAAGACTGCAGAGTAAAACCATTAACATGGAATATTTGCCAGTGGCCATAGTATCCCAGCAGCATAGAAAGAGGTAGGAACACATTCATGTCACTTGTGTGAGGTGACTGGCTGATAATGCTGCTGTTGACACTTTAGACGTTTGGCTTTATACATTACTTGTTCTCTGATTAGTGTGTGTGTGTGTGTGGTGTGTGTTTTTGTGTATAATACCTAAGTAATTGCCCAAGTGTAGTTACAGGACGAGAGCTACGCTCGTGGTGTCCCGTCTTCCCAGCACTCTTTGTCATATAACGCTTTGAAACTACTGACGGTTTTGGCCTCAACCACCTTCTCACCTAACTTGTTCCAACTGTCCACCACGCTGTTTAGGAAAGTGAATTTTCTTATATTTCTTCTGCATCTTTATTTAGTTAGCTTATATCTATGACCTCTTGTTCTTGAAATTCCTGGTCTCAGGAAATCTTCCCTATCAATTTTATCAATTCCTGTTACTATTTTGTACGTAATGATCATATCGCTTCTTTTTTCTTCTATCTTCTAGTTTTGGCATATTTAATGCTTCTAACCTCTCCTCGTAGCCCTTGTCCTTCAGTTTTTGGAGCCACTTGTGGCATGTCTTTGCACCCTTTCCAATTTGTTGATGTGTTTCTTAATATATGGGCACCATACAACCGCTGCATATTCCAACTTTGGTCTAACAAAAGTCGTGAACAATTTCTTTAGTACTGTATTTTGCCATCCATGTATTTAAAAGCAATTCTGAAGATAGAAAGTGTAGCATAGGCCCCCTGCACAATGTTCTTTATGTGATCCTCAGGTGATAGTTTTCTATCTAGAACCACCCCTAGATCTCCTTATCAGATTTTTTTTTAAAGATTTCTCTCAATTTATAAGTTGTGTGGTGTCTATGTTCTCTTATTCCACATTCCATAACATGGCAATTATTTACATTATATTCCATTTGCCAAATGGTGCTCCATATACTTATTTTGTCCAGGTCTTCTTGAAGAGCATAACATTCATCTAAGTTACTTATCTTTCCTATTATCTTAGCATCATCAGCAAACATGTTCATATAATTCTGTATTCCATCTGGTAGATCATTATGTAGACAATGAACATTACCGGTGCAAGAACTGAACCCTGTGGTACTCCACTTGTGACATTTCTCCAGTCCGATACATTGCCTCTGATTACTGCCCTCATTTATCCATCAGAAAATTTTTCATCCATGTTAGCTTACCTGTCATCCCTCCAATATGTTCCAGTTTCCAGAACAACCTCAAATGTGGAAATTTGTCGAAAACCTTTTTTAGGTCCAGATAGATGTAGTCAACCCTACCATATCTGTCCTGTAAAATCTTTGTGGCTCGATCATAAAAACTGAGTAAATTCATTACACAGGATCTTCCAGATCGAAAACCATACTGACTATCTGATATTATATCGTTTTTCTCCAGGTGCTCTACTCATTTAGTTTTAATTATTTTCCAATATTTTGATTATTACACTTGTCAATGTTACAGGTCTATAATTGAGGGGGGCCTTCCCTGCTACCATTTTTGTAGATTGGAACTATCTTAGCCTTTTTCCACACATCTGCTACAACTCCTGTACACAGGGATGCCTGAAAAATCAGGTGAAGTGGAATGCTGAGCTCAGATGCACAATCTCTCAGAACCCATGGTGAAACTCCATCTGGGCACACTGCCTTGTTTTTGCTTAGCTCCTCGAGCATTTTTTCCACCATTTCTCTAGACATCTCTATGTTGTTCCATGCTCTATATATATTTAATATATATATATTTATTTGTATGTGTGTGTGCATGCACTCGCCTAGTTGTGCTTGTGGGGGTTGAACTCTAGCTCTTTGGTCCCGCCTCTCAACTGTCAGTCAACTGGTGTACAGGTTCCTGAGACTACTGGGCTGTCAAATCTCCATTTGAAACCGTGTCTGGAGTCTGCCTCCACCACATCACTACGTAATGCATTCCATTTGTTAACTACTCTGACACTGAAAAAATGCATTCTAATGTCTCTGTGGCTCATTTGGGGTACTAAGTTTCCACCCGTGCTAGAGAGTTTGCCTTTGTCCACCCCTATCAATTCCCCCGAGAATTTTGTAGGTGGTTATCATGTCTCCCCTTACTATTCTGTTTTCCAGGGATGAGAGGTTCAACTCCCTTAGCGCTAAAGTCCCTTAGCCATTCCTCGTAGTTCATACCTCTCGGTTCCAGGACTAGCCTGGTGGCATACCTCTGAATCTTCTCTAACTTTGTCTTGTGTTTAACTAGGTATGGACTCCAGGCTCGAGCTGCATACTCCAGGATTGGTCTTACATAAGTGGTACACAAGGTCCTGAATGATTCCTTACACAAGTTTCTAAAGGCAGTTCTTATGTTGGCCAGTCTAGCATATGCTGCTGCTGATATGCTTTTGATGTGGGCTTCTGAGGACAGGTTCGGTGTGATATCAACCCCCAGATCTTTCTCTATTTGATTCTTGCAGGATTTCCCCTCCCAGATGGTACATTGTGTTCAGCCTTCTGCTACCTTTGCCTAATTTCATTACTTTGCACTTTCCTGCATTGAACTTCAGTAGCCATTTTCTAGACCATTCCACCAGTTTGTCCTCTAGTCTGTCTATCTTCATCTGTCTTTATTCTTCTCATAATTTTTGCATCATCAGCAAACATTGAGAGGAATGAGTCTGTATCCTCTGGAAGGTCGTTTACATATATTAGAAACAGGATGGGGGTCCAAGTACAGAGCTTTGTGGAACACCGCTGGTGACATCTCTCCACTTTGATATCTCCCTCCTCACAGTTACTCGCCGTTTCCTGTTGCTTAGGTACTCCCTTATCCACTGGAGTACCTTACCTTTTACTCCTGCCTGTTGCTCCAACTTTTGTAACAGCCTTTTGTGAGATACTGTGTCAAAGGGTTTCTGACAGTCCAAGAAAATGCAGTCTGCCCACCCTTCTCTTTCTTGCCTAATTTGTGTTGCTTGGTCATAGAATTCTATTAAACCTGTGAGGCACGATTTACCATCTCTGAACCCATGCTGGTGGTGTGTTACAAAGCTATTTTCCTCCAGATGCTCTACAAGCCTTTTTCTCACGATCTTTTCCATCACCTTGCATGGTATACAAATTAGGGAAACTGGCCTGTAGTTCAGCACCTCTTGCCTGTCACCCTTTTTGTATACTGGGACTACATTAGCCGTCTTCCAGCTTTTCAGTAGGTCTCCTGTTTCCAGTGACCTGTTAAACACTATAATGTGTGGCACACTTAGTGTGTCTGCACCTTCTTTAGTATCCCCGGTGAGACGGTGAGATTCTGTCAGGCCCAACATCCTTCTTCATATTTAGCTCCAACATTCTTTTTGACCTCATCACTGGTGAGGTCAAATTCCTCCAAGGTTGCTTGGTTTGCCTCCTCATTTAGTACAGGGACTTCTCCTTGTTCCATTGTGAAGACCTGGAATCTCTTGTAGAGTTCTTCACACACCTTGTCATTCTCTGTGCATCTTTTCTCTCCTTTTCTCAGTTTCATCACTTGTTCTTTCACTGCTGTTTTCCTCCTGATGTGGCTGTGGAGCAGTTTTGGTTGGGTCTTAACTTTACTCGCAATGTCATGTTCATACTCTCTCCTTCTCTCCTCACTCTGAGTTACTCATGTCTGTGTGTGTATGTCTGTTTTTATGTATGCATGTAAGTGTTATTTTTTCTTGCTTTTTGATTGCATGGCCTGCCAGCTATCAACAATTTCAGGGTAATATAAATTATCAATCATCATATGGTCATCCTACATTCACTAAATGACATTTCATGTCCCTGGGGTGTTGCTTATGGCAGTGTTTATCAAGCTGATCACTTCTCTGTTCAATTTCAATGCTAAAAAAATTCTGAAATAATAATGACCATACACATTTACCACTCTGGCAGTGAGGAGGTTCGCATCATGTATTATGGTGGACAGTTGTTAAAATTTATCCCATGGAAAATATATACATTAAGACCTCCTGCCTAGAAAGATGTGGCAAGACAGTTACAGAGTATCTCTTGAGCCTTGAAGTAACTTTAATATCTAGGGGTCCCTCCACTGGATCATGACACAAACACCACTTTTCACCACCATCTCTGCTACATAAGTACCACAGCATTTTTACACATATTTGTATATACATAATTTTTAATATCATGTAGATACTAAGGTATATTATTTTGTAATGCATAAATTAACTTTAGCCAATTGCAATTGAAACAAAATTACCCACATTCTGCTTAATATTTATCCTTATACAGATACATGGTGTTTAAAAATTAGTGTTAAATGAGCATATTTTGGTAATGATTGGATATGTGCAGAGGTGGTGGTAAATCTTTGATTCACAGTAATATGCACAGGAAATAAATCCTCTACCTAAATCTCCAGATTCAGACGGAATGTTTGCATACACAGACTGTTAATAATATACAGAAAATCTACAGTTCCAAATAACATCAGCTCTCTTCATTTTTGTTTTCATAGCATTCAATGTCTTACAGCAGGCTTTATTTTCCTGCTGACACATAACAAAAAAAAGAGTTTCAATTTTGTGGCATTTACAATGGAATGTGCTGCTTCCCAGTGGATGCCCGCACATTGAGAAGCAAGAAGTAATTAGACAGGTACACATGCAGAATCCTTTGCTGAGGACTCAAGTTTGAAGAATAATACAACAGCCAGGCACGTCATTCTGTTGGCATGGTCATGTCTGCTCGTAAACTTGCTGTAACATGAGACAGCCGAATCACATTTGAAAGGTGGTACCAGCAGTTAAAGCCTTGATTACTTGTACTTGGTTATTATTTTGTGAATGGTAAATGCTATCAAAGAAGGACTGGAACCACTGCAATTCATCCTACAAACTCTTTGGCGGTGGCATGACTAGCAAGTTCCAACAATGTGTTTCTCTGTATCACAACCAGTCCATCTCATGACCTGGGAACCTCAAGCTCATTTGTACTTTAGGACACACACCAACACCTTAACTCAAGCACCTTGGTCATCAAGAACTTAAATGTTACACAAGTCCTTTGGCAGGAGGGCAATGTGGGCTTGACTCAAATTGCCAGCAATATTTGATGAAGAATGGCTTTTATATACTTTTGTTAAAAAAAATTCATATTATTCACTGCCACTTCTCATAACAATTAAGTTCACAAAGTACTATAATCACAACAATATTACTGACATACTCACTTCAAGTTATTTTGGTGCATATCAAGATAAGATGCTGCCTTATTCTCTCCAGGTTATGGTATCATGGCAGTGCCTATGGCTTGTGTCACAGATAAAAACCAATGTCCAGCATATCTCAGGGAACTTAAATATTTCTTTTTGGGTGAAATATGAACCTGGTGGATTTAATATATATGTGATAAACCCCCTTATTAAACTCATATCTAGCGTGGTCTCATATTCTAGGCTTATAAGTAAGGGAAACGTGCACTCTTTGGACGTCTGTTTCTGTACAGTCATGATCAGTAAGGGTAGGAGATGGGTCAGGTACTGGTGGGGCAGCTCGCCGACATGGGCTAGACATATAATCTCCAGCATGTGAAGAGGCCTTTACATCTGCACTCGATGACCTTCCCCTTGATCCTTTTTGTCCGTTTTCTTTATCTGTTTTACTTGAGGAGCGTCGAACTAATTTACGATCTTTATCCTTACTGGATGAACGTCGAACTGTGATCCCCACATTTTCACTACTTCCTCCACCTGTTTGGGTAATAAAAGTAACAATTATAGTACATAACATTAATTAAATTCTTGTACTAATATCTATGTAAATTTTATTTATACAGGCAGTCCCCTAACTACAAATGAGTTATGTTCTGAGAATGTGTTTGTAAAGAAGGTATTTAGAATGCAAAGTGAGATTTTCCACGGGTGCAATGCTATAAATGGGAGATGCATTCCGGGATTATAAAAAACCAGCGTTGAATGTAATGAAAAGCCATTTTCTGGATGAGCCCCGGAGGCTCCCTGAAGCTGTCCAAACTAACATGTGCCATATTAGTTTGGTGTCATCAATCCCAGGAGTTCTAGTGCCTACCAGGGACCAGGAGCCAGAGCCTGGCTCTCTCAAAAAGGTGCAGAGAGCAATGGCCATATGAACACTACATTTAGAGTATGTCATGTCTGCCATTGACCAGGGAAAGCACCCAGAAAGGTAAGCAAAAGAATACAAACACTCTACTGGTGAAAAATTGCAACCTACATCCGAACAAAGCCAAAGAACTCCCCAAAAGAAAACAAACAAGCAAATCGACATCCAACTAGCGCGCCCGCTCGTTAGCCCCCCTCCTCCCCTGAAAGGGGGAAGGGGGGAGCCCACTCAGGCGAGCCGACCGCTCACCCCACCAGTTCGTAGAATGATGAAAACCGCAGACCGAAGGTAGGGAGAGTGTCAGGGAGAGTGTCAGGAAGCCTCCGGGGCTCATCCAGAAAATGGCATTTCATTACATTCAACGCTAGTTTTCTGTGGGGAGCCCCGTCGGCTCCCTGAAGCTAACTACCCACAGATAAGTAAAAGAGGAACTTACCCAGGAGGTGACAGCACCACAAGTCTCAAGACGAAGACAAGACTCCAGACAGCGACAGACGCCCCAAGGCCTGAGAGGGCATGGAACATTCACAAGATATCTGGCGGCCAGGACCCTGTTCAATTTCCAAAACCCCCTTGCCCGATATCAACCCAAGACATTCCCCAAAATAGCAGCGAGAGCAGCGTATTTCCTCGCATTATGGGCACGAGAGTAGACCGCAGGCTGGCTAGACTTGATAACCCTGTGGACAACCTGAGCCCTGGAACATGGAACCAGAGAAAACCGGATCAACCCAGAGAGCATCCACTGGTACTGAAGCAGTGCCCAGCAGGTAGCGACGTAAAGCCGCCACCGGACACAAAACATGATGCACACCCCAACCGACCTAACCAAACATCAACCCATGGACCCCTCCAGAAAGCAGCCATCTCATTCTTCGCCAGAAAAGTAGAGGGCTGCAAATGAACAAAACGATCCCCCCCTAGACCAAAGGAGCAGAGCCCCTGCACTAGAGAAGAGCATGAAGCTCCCCAACCTGACCCCCAGAGGCCAAAGACAAAGCTTTCAAAAAACAATCCCGAACCGAAGGGGCCACCTAGTGGAGGAAAGAAGAGAGAGAACCCGGTCCAAAGACCATTTCTGCTCAAGCGGCACATGAACAGGTCGGACGTGAAAAAATGCGCCGGAGAGCCTGCGAAACGGGGCAGAAGTGACCTCCACCTCGAACGCAAGCTGGAGCGGCTCTGCCAACACCGAACGATAAGAAGCGATAGTATTCGGCATGAGATGCCAAATACCATGTGAGAATCAGATGTGACAGGAAATATCGGCTACAGGGTGGAGTCAGCCTCTACATCACACACACTCATCTGTACTGAGCTGCTTAACACCACAAATGATATGGTGGAAGTGCTGATAATCAAAATAGATATCCTAAATGTAGTTATTGTCCTTGTATATAAGTCACCGGAGGCAAACTCTCAGCAGTTTAAAGACCAACTAATGAAAATAAAACACTGATTGGAAAGCCTAACAAACCCAGCCCCAAACATAATCCTGCTTGGGGACTTCAACCTACAGCACCTGAAATGGAAGCACCTGGTTAATACAGTAATACAGGCATACCTCAGAATAAGAGTTTAATCCGTTCCTGGAGACGCCTCGCCTTCCGAAAACTCGCATTCCGAAGTTAATTTCCCCATAAGAAATAAAGGGAAATGAATTAATCCGTTCCTGACTACCCCAAAAACCCCACATCAAACTAAATTTTTATACCTAATTCATCTAAATAAACCTACAAAACTGTGTTCCAGTTATTACTTACCTTGCTGTCGAGTGCTGTAGGCGTATGAAAGATGGTGAGGAGGGGGGAGGAGGAGAGGAGTTACTGTTTGGAAGGGGAGTCCCCTTCCATAATCACATCACATAACCCCATGCCTTGTAACACTATGGATACCACTTCTCTTTCTAAATTTTTCAAACCAGCCCCTGCTTGCCTTAAACTCTTTCTTATCTGCATCACTCGTTGCAGGGGTATTCTTTAGAAGGTCTTCGTGCAACACCCTGGCTTTCTCACAAATAATGGCCTCCGAAACACTATCACCCCTCAACTCCTTGTCGTGTATCCAAATTAATAACAACTTTTCCACTTCTTCAAGTATTTGTGGTCTTTGTGCCATTAATGTTCTTACTCCTTTTGCCACTTTAGCACCCATAATCTTATTTTTCTTCTTAAGTATAGTGCATATTGTTGATGTGGCTTTGTTGTACTGCCTACAAAGTTCAACAACACGTGTACCGTTCTCATGCTTCCGAATGATCTCTTGTTTCTCCTCTATTGTCATCCTCACATGAGCTTTCTGGCCTTTATCCTTACCACTGGCTTTCTTGGGATCCATGGTGAGATATATAATAACAAATTGTATAGACAAATCACCAAAAATCAAACAAAACACTGAAAATCCGCGAGAAGAATTGATGTGGGGGTAGTCACTGAGCGCGAGACAATAATAAACTGAGGGGCGGCGGGGCGGAGGGGCGACGATCGCCGAACCACCGCGCGCTAGGTCGGCTGTACGCGTATCAAGAAACTCGCGTCCAAACTCGCCTCCCGAAGTAACCATCGCCTTCTGAGACAAATTTTTGGAGTAAATACACCTCGCCTTCCGAAAACCTCGCATACAGGGACAATCGCATTCCGAGGTACCACTGTATCAGAGAGAATACCAGGAAGTAGCCTAAATGAACAGGCACATGCAAATGACCTGCTATGGATGTGCGACAGGTTTGCCTTAAATCAGCAAATATTAGAATCAACTAGGAAGGAGAACATGCTGGACCTCATTTTCACAATAATGATGAATTGATCAGGAACATAATGATTACAAATACCTGTTACTCAGATCACAACTTAATTGAAGTTCTGACAAGTATGGGAAATAGACCTTCGAAACCAGTTCTGATGCCCAGTGGAGGAGATTTCAGCAAATTCGACTTCACAGAAATAAACTGGGGAAAAACAGCTAGAAAATGTGAACCTGAACCAGTGCCTGGAGAAAATAAGCTCAGTAGCACTAGAAAAATGCTCAAACTGCATACCCCTAAGAAAAAGAGAGGGAGAGATGCAGATTGGAATAGGAACGTCGTTCCCTCTATAGGCGAAGAAAACGAATCACGGAACAACTTGAGAGTCACACCCTATCTCAAAAACGGCGAAGAAAGTTAGGTAGAGAAATAGAAACAATTAAACTCAAGTTACAAGAATCATACAATACCCTGAAGAGGCAAAGAGAGCAAAAGGCCATCAGTGAAAGAGAGAGAAATCAGATATATTTTCTGTGGGGAGCCCCTATGGCTCTCTGGAGCTTATCGGGCTAATGTATGTTATATTAGACCGGGACATTAGCTAAGGAGTTCAGACCTACTAGGGACCAGCGCCAGAACCTGGCCCCTTCATAGAGGTTTCAGGGAGCAATGGCCCTGGAAAACCCCCTTGTGGTTGGGGTTTTCCTTATCAGCCATCAACCAGGGTAAGACACCCAGAAAGGTAGGCATAACAAAACAAACCCCACATGGTAAAAAGCTAAAACATAAAACTGAACAGAGAGGTAGAAACGCCCTACAATCCCAAGGAATCGAGCAAACAAGCAAAAATCACACTTTACTGCTGTGCCAATCATCCGCGCAGCCCTCCCCGCCCCGAGAGGGTGGGGGGGGGGGAGCCCCGGACCTCACCACGCCGGCTGCCTAGCATCAGTTCCGAAGCTAAGCTTCAACCAACTCAAAAAAAACGCCGACCGGTGGGAGGGAGGGTTGCCAGGGAGCCTCCGGGGCTCACCCAGAAAATGGTGTTTCATTACATTCAACGCAGGTTTTCTGTGGGAAGCCCCCTACGACTCTCTGGAGCTTCATACCCAAAGAGAAGGAAAAGAAAGGGCTGACCTGGGAGGCGGCCGCCACAAACTCCGTAACGCGAAGCCGAGATAACAGGCTGCAACCTGCGACCCAAGGCAACAGGAATGCACAGGAGCAGACACACACATAAATAACGGGTGGCCAGGAACCTGTGCGATCCTTAAATCCTTGCGCCCAAAATGAGCACTAGGCGTCACCAACACAGCAGTGAAAGCTGCAAATGTCCGAACAGCACAGGGGCAAGGATAGACCGCAGGCTGGAAGACTTAAAAACTCTGCAGACGACCTGGGAGACCCGAGCCCTGAAACGGAATGAGGGGAACCGGATCAACCCAAAGCGCATCCCCAGACACGGTACGCAGGTAACGGCAAAGAGGCGCAACCGAACAACACAGGACGCACCCCTGGCCGAACCAATCAAGCATCAATAACCCAAGGACCCCTCCGGAAAGCAGCCATCTCGACCGTCGCCAGAAGAACGGAGAAAGGCTGCAAACGTACAAACCACCACCAGTACCAAAGAGTGGACAATTGGACAACCACTTGTCCACTTCCATACAGGAAGTGGACAATCTTGGCTACCAACATCCTCAATCGCCTCTTGGTTCTGTCCTCTTTCCACAACAATCATCACTAGACAAATGTCTTGTCCCTGATACCTCTACACCATGCTTACATGTACTATCATCTATCATCTGCTTGTCCGTCCAATGGTTCTTGTAAAGTATGAGATGAAGCTGGAGAAGGGTCAAAGGTATGCCAATAGACTGGTTCCAGAACCAAGGAGTATGAGTTACAAGGAAAGGTTGCATGAATTGCACCTCACATCGCTGGAAGATAGAAGGTTTGAGGGTTTGGCTTCCTATATCAATTTCATTTTTGTATCTTTTGGTCACTGACCCTCTCAATTTCTGTTAAATTAATGCTATTTCCTAATTCTGCATCTCTTGTTTTGGTATAAAAACATTTATGCTTTTATCATACATTTCACAAAACTTGACATACATCTCATAAGTAAATATGTTATTGGGATAGGTCAAAGCAAGCATCTTGCAACCCACTCCTATGCTGTTAATCTGTATTGTAATGTCATCCAGAAATAGGTTCAAACACTGGCGGAAACGTCAAATTGTGATTTGACTATAATTGCAGACCACTGGTACAAGACAAATTCATTGTTTGGTAAGCAGTTAAAAATTATAGCAGAATTTTTGACTGGGTCTATATAAACTCAATTACTTCCACAGATGTATTATAACAATATTTACATTATTTGCAAAAAACTAACATATTATGGTAGCCGCATTACCCTGGGGTTCAAAATATGATGACAAAACACATTTTGAGGGTTAATACTTTCCAAAAATATTGGAGGAAATGTTAATGACACTGCAAAAATTATTTTCATAAAATAAATGCAATTATTAACAATTGAACAGATTCTTTCAAACCTGAAGGGGGTCTATTAATGGATCCTGAGCGTAGTATATAAACAGCAAGAGGCTGGCATTCAACATCAACTGGTGTTAAGGGTGATGTGTGCGGTGAATGGGATAAGAACCACTCACTGCGCGTCCGCATCCGCTCTGTCTGTCTTTCATGTACCTGATTAAAATAAAAATCAGAGGTTAACCTAAAACTATGAACTCGCAAGGAAATAATTTGTAGTACAGTAACAATTGAACCTAACCCTACCTCATATTTGTGCTGAATTCAGCTAATATGACCATGTAGAGAGTAAGTCACAATAACGTGGATAAAAACTAATAACCCCAATCCCTACACATATGAAAGGAAAGTGATAAGGTTTCGGTCCATCCTAGGCCCTTATGAGACTTGACTTTATACGGGTCCGGGATGGACTAGAATATTGTCACTTATTTCATGTGGGGGTTTGGTTATTAATATGGCAATTTTGACAATGGTCAATATTACATATATAAACAATTCTATAATATCAATGCTTAGTAGAATCATAACATATTTATATTATTAACACTTTGCCTGGCCTATAACTCATAATGCATCCTTAGATGAATATACTCAGTCTAGGCAAGGACGCACCCTGAGTCCTAAATTAAAACATTCGTTAAAAATCCATTTTCTGTGGAGAGCCCCTTCGGCTTCCCGGAGTTATACCGGGCTGATGTGTATATATTAGACCGTGGCAACAGTCACTCGAAGGAGTTCTAGGCCTACTGGGAACCAGAGCCAGAAACTGGCCCCCTCAAGAGAGGCACGAGGAGCAATGGCCTAAAGACATCCCAGTGTAATTGGAAGCAGTCTTTGTCTGCCATCTACCAGGTCAGACACCCAGAAAAGTAGGAATTCCAAAACAAACTACTGCTGGTCAAAAATTGCATACAGAACTCCCCATTCAAAAACAAGGAAACAAATATGACGTCACCACAACCGTAGTGCATCCGTTTGTGCAACCTCCCCCCTCCTCCCTGCGAGGGGGAAGGGGGAGTCCCAGACCTCCACAATGGCAACTTTCCTGAGTTCAAGAGGCTGTTGTGTTGGTGACGGTCGATTGCTCTGGCTCCACTCTTTGCACAGTGCTGCTTAGGGGGCGTTATTTCCAAATTTGACCAAAATATGCAATAAATGAAAACTCGTTCGATTTCAATCAAACTTTTTTGACAAGTTGTATATGAAAAGGGTTTCGCCTGGTCCAAGTCTCAGTATCGTAGCATAAATAGGGAGAAAGAAAAAAAATATTGAATTATGTGTCAAAAATTGTCCAAAATCATTAAAAACAAGTATGAAACAAAAGTGTCAACTGAAATCATGTCTATGACTCTCAGCTATCACATTAGCATATAAAAACAAATTATAATTAGTTTTATTAAAAAATTAGTTAAAAAAATTTTGCCTCTCTTTTGTTTATTGGGCAATTTGCATGAAACTTATACACCTGACTGCACGTAAGCCTATCTGTAAAGGTGCCAATTTTGGAGGAAATTGGTTGATGTCAACCTCAAGTCACAGATGGCAACACCTTAGACTTTTTTTTACTTATTTATTTTCAAGTAACAAACGTTCAAATATCCCTTTCATTTCATATTCAGTTTATATAAAACTTACACCTTATATGTAAAGTTTATGTCCAAAATCTTAAGGAAGCATTTTTTCCAAAGTTCATTTATTGATTTTATAAATAGCAATAAACATGATATATTTGCATAATATTTGGGGGTACTTTGACTATTTGTATTAGGAAAACTAAAGACTTTTGGAAAATCCCATCCTCTAGATCCTTTATTATATGCTAATGTGTTAGAAATGTGTCATAGAATGATTATATCTGAAAGGTGTGGTTGTAAAAACTTGAAAATGTGTAAAATTTGTTGAAAAAATAAAAAAATCTCCCTTACTATTTAGGCTGCAGCCCTTTTCATATACAACTAGTCAAAAAATATTGGTTGACACTGAACAACTTTCACTTTTCCAGATATCCCCTCCTTAGCAGTGTTGTTGCTCTGTGTTGGTGATGTGTGAGCCAGGAGTAACACAAGAGTACTGGGGCTGCATGCACCTAGGGCCACCTTCCCCAGGTGCCCTGTAAATACTGCCTTTGCGGCTTAGTGTTATCTTTCCACGAGCCGTTCAGGAGCAGCTGCCTCCGTGTGGTTCTGTCTCTGCTCAGTGATTGCCTGCCCTTGGGGTTCAGCTGGGATGGTTCTTACTCCTGTTTGCCCTTAGTAGCATGTCTTTGCACCTTCTCCAGTTTGTTGATGTGCTTCTTAAGATATGGGCACCACACAACTGCTGCATATTCTAGCTTTGGCCTAACAAAAGTTGTGAACAATTTCTTTAGTATATCGCCATCCTTGTATTTAAAAGCAATTTTGAAGTTAGAAAGCGTGGCATAGGCTCCTCGCAGACCGTTCTTTATGTGGTCCTCAGGTGATAGTTTTCTATCTAGAACCACCCCTAGATCTCTTTCTTTATCAGAATTCTTTAAAGATTTCTCACATAATATATAGGTTGTGTGGGGTCTATGTTCTCCTATTCAACATTCAATAACATGGCATTTATTAACATTAAATTCCATTTGCCAAGTGTTGCTCCATATACTTATTTTGTCCAGGTCATCTTGAAGGGCATGACAATCATCTAAGTTTCTTATCCTTCCTATTATCTTAGCATCATCAGCAAACATGTCCATATAGTTCTGTATACCAACTGGTAGATCATTTATGTAGACAAACATCACTGGTGCAAGAACTGAACCCCTGTGGTACTCCACTTGTGACATTTCTCCAGTCCGATACATTGCCTCTGATTACTGCCCTCATTTTTCTATCAGAAAATTTTTCATCCATGTTAGAAGCTTACCTGTCACCCCTCCAATATTTTCCAGTTTCCAGAACAACCTCTTATGTGGAACTCTGTCAAAAGCCTTTTTTAGGTCCAGATAGATGCAGTCAACCCAACCATCTCTTTCCTGTAATATCTCTGTGGCTCGATCATAGAAACTGAGTAAATTCAATACACAGGATCTTCCAGATCGAAAACCATACTGTCTGTCTGATATTATATCATTTCTCTCCAGGTGTTCTACCCATTTAGTTTTGATTAGTTTTTCAAATACTTTCACTATTACACTTGTCAATGATACAGGTCTATATTTGTGTATATAAGTGTGTGTGTGTGTGATAGATAGATAGATAGATAGATAGATAGATAGATAGATAGATAGATAGATAGATAGATATATACATATATATATGAATGACAGTGTCTGACCATGGAGGAAGAATTGAAACAGGAATTTCCTTAAGTACTTTCGTATATTAATACATCTTCAGAAGGAGTGAACTTCTTGAAGTTGAAGAACTTGACTCCTGATCAAGTGGCCTGACCCACCGTGGTCTGACACTCACATTTTTAATCACGCGTTTATTTTTCGTGATTACACACACACAATAACATATACATATATATATATGTATGTATGTATGTGCAGGCGATGAGTCACAATAACGTGGCTAAAGAATGTTGACCAGACCACACACTAGAAGGTGAAGGGATGACGACGTTTCAACTCGAGACAACAATCGACTTGAGAATGGTCCAGGACGGACAGAAATGTCGTCGTCCCTTCACCTTCTAGTGTGGGGTCTGGCCAATATAAATAAAATAAAATAAAATAAAATAAAATAAAATAAATAAATAAATAAATAAATAAATAAATAAATAAATAAATAAATAAATAAATAAATAAATAAATAAATAAATAAATAAATAAATAAATAAATAAATAAATAAATAAATAAATAAATAAATAAATAAATAAATAAATAAATAAATAAATAAATAAATAAATAAATAAATAAATAAATAAACAAACAAACAAACAAACAAACAAACAAACAAACAAACAAACAAACAAACAAAAAATTCAAATTCAAAAGGTGACACCCCTAGGGTCAACACTTGCAGCAGAGGAGCTCCAGCATATTTCAACAATCCTAAGTATTGTAGTACAGGTTGATGGTAGTGAGTGGTGTCCCACAGAACATAAAGGTATAGTGCTCTTGAAAAATAGGTGAGATAACAGGAAAGTGCTAAGGGAAGTGAAAAATCAGATGAGAAAAAGTTGCCCTAGTGTTTACAGTGCAGAGAAGAACATTCAAGATGGCCACTGGCAAGGGGAAAAACAAAACAGAGCTTGATTTTGAGGGATTCAATGAAGAAAGCATTGATATTAGTAGTCTACATAACAAGTTGGTAAATTTAGATACTATAGTGAACTCTCATGTAGAAATAATTAGTAAATTGAAAGAAAGTAATGACCATTTGAATAGCAAAGTTTTATGTCTTGAGGGTTTAGTGAAAGACTTGCGCAAGGATAAGAATCAATTGGAAACAAATTGCAAAGCCATGGAAGAAGAAAATAAACTCTTAAAAATAGCTTTGGAAGAAGTTAAAGTAAATTTAAACATAAATGACTACAATAGGTTAGGCAAGGAAATTCAACAGGAGAAACAGCTTTTGTCAGCACAGATGGAGGAAGTTACACAGGGAATAGAACAGTGCAAGAAAGATATGCAACTCACTTATGCACAAGTGGCCAAGGAGAAGGAAAAAATAGAAGAAGCAGTAAAGGAAGTCAAACACTGCAGCAACCAAGATAAAACAAACATTAGGCTAGAAGTGAGGAAAGAATTGGCATCTAACCCGAAGTTGGTGCAAAACACAGTTGATCGGAGTAAGTCCCTGATCATTTTTGGCTGCAAAGAAAAGGCGATAACATCTAGGTCAGAAAGAGCTGTAGAAGAAGCTAAAGTAGTAGATAAAATTGTTGGCCTCGTGGAAGGTCTTACAAACAGAGAGAATGTGTGCGACTACAGGAGAATAGGCAGGTACGTAAAAGGGAAAGATCGACCTTTGAGGATCACCCTAAACGGTGCCAAACAGATGGAAGAAGTACTAAGGAATGCTAGAAAATTGCAAAGGGATGAGGATGGGAAAGGGTGGTCGTTAAGACGAGATCTTTCAAAAGAAGACAGAGAGAAGCTGAAACTGAACCTCGCCGAGGCAAAACATTTAAATGAGAGCAGGAATGAAGAAGAAATAAATTCTTTTTTCTACAAAGT